AGTACACTCTGTTTAGTGTTAATTGTATGATTTTGACAATTTTACTTGATTTTAGTGTTTTGAATAGAATTCCTTTTCAGATATTATTGTTTTAGGGGTTATCGTTAAGCTAAATTCTTGTTATATTGTGTTGAGAATATGATTTTGAGTTTGCATGAAGTTAGTATCATTTTCCAATTTCTAAATCAACTTAGTTAATTTATTTGTAAGTTTGTTCATTTATCCATATATTTTGATAATTTTTTATCGAGTCATTCATTCAATTTTGGATGAATAAGGAGTTATATTTGTTCTATGATTATATTTTCTTGATGACTTGATTATTCGGTTTGTAAGTACATAATTAAATGCATATGTTGGGATCTATTTTATCTTTTAGTGACAGTAAGTTGTTGCGGTCGGTTCACATGTGATTCAAATGAAATTTTCGAGTTTAATTTAAATGTGGACTGAATTTGTGAGTTCCTATGTTTTTAAATTTGATGTAATTGGTTCAATTTGAGGATTCAAATATCTAATTCATGTGCTGAAGTGGTTTGGCTCAGTTCAAAGCCAAAATGTTGATGGTTCTATGTGGATTCAAACCAATTGCTTAAAAAAAGTGGTTTCAGTTCGATTTTGCGATTTGGTGGTTTCGTTGTTAAGCCCTAGCAATAGCTAGCAGGCATCAATGGTATCAGATAATAATTATATGCAACTAGTAATCCCTCTCTTTGATGGTCACTTTGATCATTGGAGCATGTTGACGGAGAATTTTCTGCAATCCAAAGAATATTAGAATACATGGAAACAAGAGTGATTGAACTACCTATGGAACGATGTTGATTGAAGCTCAATATAAAAACTAGACAAACAGAATCTAAAGGACTTAAAGGCACAAAATAACGTGTTTCAATCAATAGATTGTGGTTTTTAGAGACAATTCTCAAAAAGGACACTAGTAAAAAAATATGGGACTCCATGAAAAAAAATACCAAGGCACAACAAGGGTGAAATGCCAAAAACTTCAAACTCGTTACAAAGAATTTGAGATTCTTTTCATCAAGCTAGGAGAATCTATCGAGGAGTACTTTTCAAGAACACTGGCAATTGCTAACAAAATGTGCATTCATAATGAAAAAATTGAAGATATAGCCACGGTGGAGAAAATTGTTATAATGGCTCCAAAATTCATGTTTGTGGTATGTTCAATTGAGGAGTCAAAAGACCTAGATGAGCTTTTGATTGTGGAACTATAAAGATCATTATTGGCACATGAGGAAAGAATGGGAAATAGTTCAGTAGAGGCAGTGGCAGATCCAGCACCTGATGAGTACCTACGACCGCGCGTGCTGGATCTGTGGGAGCAATATTTTTTGGTTGATAATAGATAAGATTTTTATCTTATATTATTGGTAATTCACTTTAATTTAAAATGTTTCTTCTAGCCAAGTTGGTTAGAGCTTGGATGTACATATTAGAAGTCTTAGGCTCAAATCCCTTGCCAACCAATAAATTGTACAATAACTATAGTTCTATAATTTTTGCCAAAATTAATGCAAAGGGAGAATACCAGAGGGGATTCTAACATATGAACTCTTGCAAGGATTATTGAATGCTCGACCATTATGGTACTTCTTGAAGTTGGAGCTAAATTTAATAAAATAATATATGTTAAGTTTTAACAATTTTAGTGCAATTGTAAAAATTTGAACCTGTACTCTTCCTTTGAATTGTACAAAACTTGGCAACAATGTTATTTGGTGAGTATCATTTATTCTTATAACAGATTTATATAGATTCAATTTGAACAAAATAATTGTTATATATGAAGTTTAGGCCTTTTTTTATTCCCATCAATTTCAAAATACATTTTTCTCTTTCTTACTTTCAATCATACATTATTTAATAAAATAATTTTACACGCAAATTCAAATTTTTTTCCTTATTTTTAACTACATATTATCCATCTAATCACTATTCCAAAATGCATTTTTTGCAAGCAAAAAAGGGGGGGGGGGGGATATTAAACGGGTTCTTAATATTTTTTTGTGGTTGACAATTGATGGTCACCTGTGCTAACTCAAATTCTTGGATCTGCCACTGAGTAGAGGAACAAGCTTTGAAAGTCTCAACCCATAATGAATACTCTACGAGGAAAGGCACCAGTAGAGGTCGTGGTCAAGGCAGAGGAAGAGGAAGAGGAAGAGGAAGAGGAAGAGGAAGAGGTAGTTTCACACTTGGTTCTCGAGGTAGAATCAGATGACGTAATCATCAACCCAAGTATGATCATGAATAAAAAGTTGACAAGTCCAACATTCAATGCTACCGTTTTCACAAGTATGGCCATTCGATAATAATGCCCAATTGATGATTCTGATATTAGATATATGGAGAAAGTACCCTACGCTAATGTTACAGGTACAATCATTTATACTATGGCATGTACAAGACATGATGTTGCTCATGCTATTAGCATTTTAAGTAGATTCATGACTAGTCCCAAACCAAAACACTGGAGGCTCTAAGTGGCTTCTTCGATATAAAAAAGAAACCTCACATTTAAGATTAGTATTTAAAACCTTCAATGAGGGAATAATATTAATGGGTTTTGCTGATACTAATTTTGCTGATGATAGAGATAATATAAGTCTACCACAGCCTATATGTTTACGTTATGTGGTACTTGTATAAATAGAAAATCATAATTCAGCCTATAGTTGCAATGTCTACTACAAAGAATAAATATGTTTAGCTACAAAGGTTGTGGAGGAAAACTTATGGCTTAAGGGTTATTAATTGAAATAAATATGATTTTCAAACTTGCTATTGTCTATTCTAATAGTCAAAGTGATTTACATTTGTGTAAATCTCATTTTTCATGAAAGAAGAAAACATATAGATATTAAATTACACTTTATAAGAGATATTAGTTTAGATGAAACTATATATATAGTCGTCCAATTAGGTGATAATCCAAGTTCTACCGTTTGGGTTGGTTTTCGAAATCTTCTCCTCTTTCCTCTTTGTAATCTTCTTCCAAATCCTTTGATTGGAAGTTGATTTCTTCTATCTTTCTTTGGAAAATTTAAACACTTAGGGTTCGTTTTGATTGCAAAGGTGGAAAAAACAAACCAATTACATGTAAGTTGGAAAAGAAAAACCACCAAAATCATAAGAATTCAATTTCGATGGAATTGGCCAAAGACATACTTTAAGTGTTTATACCTTAGAATTCGAACTCCAATTCTATCAAACAGTTAAAGTAGAAAATGAATTCCTTCAATGTGACATTTTCCATGGAATTGGGTGCTATCAAATGGAATCTTAATTTGTTTGTATACAGAGAAACAGTGTGATTACTTGTGGCTTCCTTTAATTAATAGGGGAATCGTTTAGGAGCCCGTTAGGGTTTTATGGCCAATTAGACGGGTGCAATTTGAATTTGTGCCCTTCATTTTTTGATTTCCTCGGTGTTACATCACAGATCGAGTGGGAAAAACTATATTTGCTTCAAGATTCTGAAGTTACTTTTGTTATTTCGTTTCTTGGTTCGAAGTTTTGTATAATACTAACAATGCAAGTAATTGAGATTTTTGAATTTGAAATTGATGTTAAGGGTTTTGATTGAATTTTGAAAGAAATTTGGGGAAGAACGTCAGTTTTGGTTATCTTATCTAACACTTTTTTTTTTCTTTTTTCCTTTTTTTTTTGGTTTAAAAAAAATATTTTATTTATCAACTATGCTCATTATTAGCGGTGTCAACGTGTTGGGCTAAGCCCGATCGGGAGCCGAAGCTCGTGGCTGTGCCAAAAAGCTTAGGCCTTTTTTGCTCGAGTTGACCCAAGGCCAAAGCCCGATTAAAATTTTGAGGCTTGGCTCGGGCTTTTAGCTCGAGCGAGCCGAGCCGGCTCATATTTTTTTAATTTTTTTAAATTCATTAAATTCTAAATTCTTTTTAACAATGCAATTTATAGTAATTGTAAATTAAAAGTATAATTGTGATTGCAAAATAATCAACAAATATTTAACCTTCCACTAGTTATATGACTAAAATGGTGAAAGGACAAAAAATGTATTTGCACTCGAGAAAATATTTATTATCGTCATTGTTAAATTAATATTACATGCTTGGCGGCTTCAAGAAACAACAACCATGGAGCAAAATTTTATCATGATCAAGTCTGATGGCGTCCAAAGAGGACTGGTAAATTCTGTCTATTATTCATCTTGGACTTTATTGTTTATGGGATAATTAAATTTTATAAATTCATTTCATTTGGTACTTTACTCACATTAATTATGAAGGGAAGCAGAAACAAGAAATAGAATTATTTTTGTTGGGGAACTGGAAAAGAATTGCAAGTTACTTCTAGTTTTGATTATCTTGGACTAGTGTTCAAGAAACAGCCAGTGGAGCAAGTGTGTTCTGTACGCGAATGAATTTTGGCCTGTGACAGGGGCCAAAATGGCCCTGTGCGGCTAGTCAGGCCGGCTAGGCTCGAGCCAAGTCCCAAATTTTGGCCTTGGGCGGGTTGCCGAACCAATGGGCTCATTTGCCATCCCTATTATTATTTAGTTCATGAGATCTAACAATTCACTAGGTAGGGGATAATACTCTATACATGTGCTTAGCTCACGTATGACTTGTTGGATTACGACACGGCTTTTGATCAAGTTAAATAATTGAGTGGGAGGAAAGGGACTAAGAGTTGCTTTGATTCAATTTGTCGACAACATGGATTTCAATAATCAACCATTTATTCTTTGTGCAGTTTGTCTAAGATGTCATTACATGTGATTTGAACTTGATTAAAATAAATTTGTTAAAAGAAAATAGATTATAATAAAAAGTATAATACTTTTACTTCATATTTAATTGGATTTTGCAATTAAAATCGGCTTAGTAAAAATTTGTTAATTAACTTTTAACTAATCATCTACCTCAATCTTTAAGACAATAACAAAAGTAGAAGCCAAACCATGAAAATTTCTTTTCAATGTCTATTTGAGCTGATATCCGATAACAAACAATGAAACAAAGCAAATAACAGAAAGACATTTGATCCTAACTGATCTAAAGAAGCAAGCACTCTCGCGCTCACACCCACCCCATCCCCCTCGACAAGGACGGCAACAGGATCGAGAATGGAAATGGTAACAATATAACAAGAAGAATTCGAAGTAGCATGTTAAACATTATACTTGCAAAGGTTCTCAAATCCCATGTATTCATGTCTTTCTATCTTTCCAATCATGTTTGAAATGCCAACGCCACCTGTTTTGCAAAAAAATAAGTATGGATATATACAATTATACAAGCATTTAAGTGTGTACTAAAAGCTAGTTAATGGATCTAGTAAACAATTGCAAGCGGACAAATTTATCGTTGCTTCAAGTTTAAATAATTGAAAAACAGAACTCTGAAGAAATTCATGATTTTAACTGATATAAAAATGGTGAATGAAACTACTCACCTAGAGAGATGGCACTCACAAAGATTATAGATGCCAAAACAAAGATGATTATTGATGCCCGTCCCATTATAATGATCACCTTCCTCACGACGTGTTGGCCAATAAATGCAGCAACAGTGGCAACAACAACCAAGCAAAGAGCTGAACACATAAATGCAGAAACCATTGATCCAATACAAATTTGGGAAAAAAAATTATATATATATTAAAAAAATTTAAATAACTGTTATATAAGGACCAATACAAGTTTACTTATTGTCGAGATTGAACAATCAATGAATGTCTGGTACACATTACTAAACCCTTGTTCGAGCCTCGTATTTTTGTCAAAAAAAAAAACGCATTCTCGAATAATATTTTAATCTCATTTCAATCACACATTTTTAAATAAAATAATATTACACGCAAACGCAAAACGTTTCATTATTTTTTTAATCACACATTTTCCATCAATATACTGGTCAAAAATGTATTTTTTTGACAAAAATGGAGCTCAAACAAACCCTAAATAAAAACTTAAACTTCTGTTGAGTACTATGCAATTCACAAGACTTGCACGCTTAGTTGGACATGCACTTACCATATGGAACTGGAAAACGTTTTAGAAGGTAATATTCAACCACGGACATTGATGAGGAAAACATCATAGCAAAGGTGGACGTTGCACTTGCAACCTGAATGAAGGTATGGATATCAGACATGTTCTCCACCTCTCACATTTGACAAACAAGAAAATGAAGTTTCTTATATTTAATGATGAAGGAAAGGAAATAAAATTCCAGAATCTTTGTAGGATTGTTTAAACATCAGGACAACTGAAACCTTTAAGCACGTCCGTAGGACTAAAAATTGATTACCAAACTCACTAAGTGTTGTCCTAAATAAATTTGGGGTCAGCTCAACTTTTTTCAGAAAACTGGGTCTGTAACATTATTTTAGAATGATCTCAAACTCACCTGAGGTGGAACGCCTAACTCCAAAAATAGCGGACCCATGATAGATCCACCTCCCACACCCAGTAAACCACCCACTGTACCAGCCAATACGCCTAACAAGCAATAGATTATCAACTGGTGCACTTTCAAGTTGGACCCTCCATCTCCCTTAGATGCAATTTTTCTCCATCCCTTGTATAGGCAAATTGATTCATAACCAGATACGCCAAGAGACACAGGGATCTGCAGAGCAGAGAATGGTAGTTTGGAATGCTCAAGAAATAAGTATAACAAGAGCATTAACATATTGCAGAATCGGCTACAAGTTTCCCAAATATGCAGATAACCTTGTACACATACCTGCAGCAAGTTCATTACCCAGTACATTGCTGAACATGTAGCTGTATAGTTCTGTTCAATTTGATGATGAATGAGTGTGTTTCAGAGATACTAACTAGTTAAGTAACCCAATTGGAGGTTCCTGAAAGTAAAAATAATGTTTGCAAGGAAATAGAAAAAAGTGAAAACCTTGATGATCTGGACTGCAAGAAATGCCATCCAAACGAAGACAAGAAGACCAAGTTCATTCCAACGTACATTCTCAAGGATACCGACCTGAGATTGTGAGTTGTGTCATATATTAGAGTTCAGGAAATGCACACTCGTCTGCAAATATATCACACCTTGGGTTTTGCCAAGTCTTTGGCTTCATTTTCCGTGTCATTACTAAGGCCTCCACTATGAAGCTTATTATCTGCTTCTTCTGTAACATTGCCTGGCAGAACAGGAAAAATGCATGCTTTATTTTTAGTAGGGAAATTATGGGCCAAAAAGGAGAAATGAACAGAAAATAAAAGGTGATCCTTAATGCATGTTTGGTCTGCAATATTAAATTGTATTCGACAATACAATGAACAAAAATGCTTCAATGAACTCACCACTTGCCTCCAATTGCTTTACAGTCTCCTGCACCAATACAAAAATTGGCATTTAATATGAAAGAGAAAGACCAGCTATACCAAGAAGGACAGGAAGAAAAAATATGAAAATACATTGCACTTAGATTTTGCCACTACTCAATTAATTTGAACCCTCACCAATGAGATTCATGCCACAAGTGTGAATAACATAAGACACCAAAATACAACCAAACTGTGTAAAAAAGTTGAAATGATTACCTTTTTCACAAGAGTTTCTTTTTTCCATGTTTCAACTCCTTTGAAAAAGGCCTTACTTGATGTTGCTGCAAGTGTCATATTATATTAAAAAAGAGACACTGAAGCAGGATACGTAACAAACCAATTGTAACACAAACTTTAATTACCTATAAAGAGAATGATTAAAAGAACAGTGACCATCCAATCAGAAAATATCACATTGAATGCAACTCCGATACTAATGCCTAGCATAAGCATAGGTTGGATGAGAACAGCCAAGTCATAGTCGATAATTGGCATATCAATAGTTGGATGCCTGAGCTTAAGATTATAGCAAACAGTCGAGACTGCAGCTCCCATGATCATACCTGTCAATTTAGAAACGACATTTACAACTCCATACAACCAAACTTAACTTATCTAAGGAAATATTCAGTTCATCTTTAGCCATTAAATTTAAAGGAGACATAAGTTGGTGATATTCTATGGCTGAAAAGGGACGTTAGAATATTTTATATGCATAGTTTCTTCCTTCTTGATTATAGGGACACTAAGAACTTCAGATTGAGGCTGTCTAAAACTATATGCATAAGGATTTGAATTAATTCAATCACCAAATAACTTGGAATATCCAATCGTGCCGAATACGTAATCGTTCCATGTTATATCAATATGGTTTTTAACTCACATTTTGAGATAGCAGCTGATGATTTCGGATCAAATCCAATAACCAGAGTAAGCATGGGAACAAATACCCCACCACCACCAACGCCACCAACACTTCCAAAAGATGCTCCGAAAAATCCAATTATGCTTCCAACAACAATTTGCCAGTTGAATTTCAGATCCTGTAGACGACATACCAGATTGTCTCACATTACAAAACATGAAAAATCGGTAATACGAATTTATTAATGTACACTGACCCAAAAAAAAAAAAAGCACATATAAACTATCTTTTCCTCACACACAAACACTCAAAGTTATGATCAATTCAAGAAACCAATCATTTCTTTGAGGTTTTCCAAAAGTTACTCTGTTCTGGTCATATGGATATCACCGTTAAGAAGTTCACATACCGGCATACAAGAACAAATATGTATGCTCAAGTATAAATGTATTAACACTTGTTAATACTTCGATCGAACCAACGCAAAGGCCTCCAAGACTCAACAACCTATGAAGAAACCTAAGAACAAAATCCTAAGGATTCCCAAAGATCAATTCTGAAAAAAACTGAATCCAAATTATTCATCCCAGCCTCCAAATTCCAATATCAAAAAACAAACATATCATGCAAAAATAATAGGAAAATAAAATTCCAGATCGAACTCAATTCAAATACATTAAAGCACAAAACAAATTGAATTTGAAAATTAAAAACTAAAAGAATCAAAGATTTAACACACCGGCCAAACGTGCTGGTAACCAGATTTGTTGGCTTGCCGTGTAAAATTCTGATAATTTGTTAAAATATCTAAATCAGAATGTGAAAACCCATTTGCATTATGTGCTAAAAAATTCTGCTTTAAGCTTCTTCCTTCAGCAGAAACAAATATTGAAGCTAACAGAAAGCTCCATACAACTGTTAGTAAAGGTCTAAAAGCCCTCAAATTTTCTCGATTCCCAGCCATTATGAACCAAAATTCTCTCTTTTTCAGTACAAAATCTTCTCTAATTTACGTACAGTCTTAGATTTTGGCGGGTGGAAAAGGAAAAATGCAGGTGGCGAGTGCGAAATTTGAAGAAATTTTTTGCTCAAAGTGGGTGCATGAGAAAACTTGCGAGAAGAAACAGAAGAAACGAAATATATGGATTGGAAAGAGTTTTTTGTTGAGAGGGAGAGAGAGCGAAAGTTGAAATGTGGCAGAACTCAAAATTGGACAAACAGGTCCTTCGACCCATGAAACGACAACAGTTTTAAATTGAGTAAATTTAACCAATAATCACTGAACTTTACACTTGATTACTACTTGCTCACTCATCTTTCAAATATTACTGAATGCTCAATCATCTTTTCATATAATTACTCATTCACCACTCGTCTCTTCAAATAATTGGGCTACTTTTACGGCAAATTTTCAACAACTTCCGACCACAAAGAATGTCGAATTTTGATACCGTTGGAAAGCTCACGATGTCCTTTTCAATTACCACCCAAAATCTCATTATAACTCCAAGGGATTCGATCGAAAAATTGCCTTAAAAGTCGCCCCAAAAATCTGAAAAACTGGGCAGATTTTTAGATTTTTTGGGCGACTTTATTGAAAATTTGCCGTAAAAGTAGCCCAATTATTTGAAGGGACGAGTGGTGAATGAGTAATTATATGAAAAGATGAGTGAGCATTCAGTAATATTTGAAAGATAAGTGAGCCCAGATTTTCAGATTTTTTGGGCGACTTTTAAGGCAATTTTTTGGCAACTTTCGACCATCAAAACTATCTAATTTTGATACCACATTGAATGCAACTCCGATACTAATGCCTAGCATAAGCATAGGTTGGATGAGAACAGCCAAGTCATAGTCGATAATTGGCATATCAATAGTTGGATGCCTGAGCTTAAGATTATAGCAAACAGTCGAGACTGCAGCTCCCATGATCATACCTGTCAATTTAGAAACGACATTTACAACTCCATACAACCAAACTTAACTTATCTAAGGAAATATTCAGTTCATCTTTAGCCATTAAATTTAAAGGAGACATAAGTTGGTGATATTCTATGGCTGAAAAGGGACGTTAGAATATTTTATATGCATAGTTTCTTCCTTCTTGATTATAGGGACACTAAGAACTTCAGATTGAGGCTGTCTAAAACTATATGCATAAGGATTTGAATTAATTCAATCACCAAATAACTTGGAATATCCAATCGTGCCGAATACGTAATCGTTCCATGTTATATCAATATGGTTTTTAACTCACATTTTGAGATAGCAGCTGATGATTTCGGATCAAATCCAATAACCAGAGTAAGCATGGGAACAAATACCCCACCACCACCAACGCCACCAACACTTCCAAAAGATGCTCCGAAAAATCCAATTATGCTTCCAACAACAATTTGCCAGTTGAATTTCAGATCCTGTAGACGACATACCAGATTGTCTCACATTACAAAACATGAAAAATCGGTAATACGAATTTATTAATGTACACTGACCCAAAAAAAAAAAAAGCACATATAAACTATCTTTTCCTCACACACAAACACTCAAAGTTATGATCAATTCAAGAAACCAATCATTTCTTTGAGGTTTTCCAAAAGTTACTCTGTTCTGGTCATATGGATATCACCGTTAAGAAGTTCACATACCGGCATACAAGAACAAATATGTATGCTCAAGTATAAATGTATTAACACTTGTTAATACTTCGATCGAACCAACGCAAAGGCCTCCAAGACTCAACAACCTATGAAGAAACCTAAGAACAAAATCCTAAGGATTCCCAAAGATCAATTCTGAAAAAAACTGAATCCAAATTATTCATCCCAGCCTCCAAATTCCAATATCAAAAAACAAACATATCATGCAAAAATAATAGGAAAATAAAATTCCAGATCGAACTCAATTCAAATACATTAAAGCACAAAACAAATTGAATTTGAAAATTAAAAACTAAAAGAATCAAAGATTTAACACACCGGCCAAACGTGCTGGTAACCAGATTTGTTGGCTTGCCGTGTAAAATTCTGATAATTTGTTAAAATATCTAAATCAGAATGTGAAAACCCATTTGCATTATGTGCTAAAAAATTCTGCTTTAAGCTTCTTCCTTCAGCAGAAACAAATATTGAAGCTAACAGAAAGCTCCATACAACTGTTAGTAAAGGTCTAAAAGCCCTCAAATTTTCTCGATTCCCAGCCATTATGAACCAAAATTCTCGCTTTTTCAGTACAAAATCTTCTCTAATTTACGTACAGTCTTAGATTTTGGCGGGTGGAAAAGGAAAAATGCAGGTGGCAAGTGCGAAATTTGATGAAATTTTTTGCTCAAAGTGGATGCATGAGAAAACTTTCGAGAAGAAACAGAAGAAGCGAAATATATGGATTGGAAAGAGTTTTTTGTTGAGAGGGAGAGAGAGCGAAAGTTGAAATGTGGCAGAACTCAAAATTGGACAAACAGGTCCTTCGACCCATGAAACGACAACAGTTTTAAATTGAGTAAATTTAACCAATAATCACTGAACTTTACACTTGATTACTACTTGCTCACTCATCTTTCAAATATTACTGAATGCTCAATCATCTTTTCATATAATTACTCATTCACCACTCGTCTCTTCAAATAATTGGGCTACTTTTACGGCAAATTTTCAACAACTTCCGACCACAAAGAATGTCGAATTTTGATACCGTTGGAAAGCTCACGATGTCCTTTTCAATTACCACCCAAAATCTCATTATAACTCCAAGGGATTCGATCGAAAAATTGCCTTAAAAGTCGCCCCAAAAATCTGAAAGTCTGGGCAGATTTTCAGATTTTTGGGGCGACTTTTAAGGCAATTTTTCGATCGAATCCCTTGGAGTTATAATGAGATTTTGGGTGGTAATTGAAAAGGACATCGTGAGCTTTCCAACGGTATCAAAATTCGACATTCTTTGTGGTCGGAAGTTGTCGAAAATTTGCCGTAAAAGTCACCCAATTATTTGAAGAGACGAGTGATGAATGAGTAATTATATGAAAAGATGAGTGAGCATTCAGTAATATGTGAAA